CCCTTGCCCCTCGCTACCCACCCTGCCCCCTCGCCAGCCCCCTGCACCCCCCGACCTGCCCTGCTCCCCTGCTCCCCCCTTGCCCTGCTCCGCCTCACCCTGCAGCCTCTGCACCTCCCACTCCCCGCTCCCACAGCCTCTGTGACCCCCGCCTGCCCTGCTCACCCCGCAGCCTGTGCCTGGCGGGGGCTTCGGACGCTCAGCAGTGACCGGGGCGGCGCGGGTCCCTGCAGCCCCGGCACACACCACACTCCCGCCCCGTGCCACAGCCTCCTTCCTGCTGCTGGAAACAGCTCCCGCGGCGCCGGGGCCACAGGAAGGGTCCCCCAGTGGCCGGGGGGTCCCCACCCGCGAGGGAAGCCTGAGCCACTGGCTGGGCCCGGCCTCCCCGTGGTCCTGCGGGCTCGGCTGGGGCGCGCGCTCCGTCCAGCTGCCGGGGCAGCAGCGGCCCCTCCACCGCCTTCCCCCCACCCAAGCTCGCTACAATGTAGCCGGGGCGAATGGGCTGTGCTGCGGACCCGGCAGGTCGTGCTGGGGCCAGGCGGACCCTGGCTTATGCCTCCCTATTTCCCCAGACATGTCCGGCTTTTTGAAAATTCCCCCCGGCCGGGGATTTGAGCACCAAAAAGCCGGCCATGTCTGGGGAAATCTAGATGTATGGTAACCCTATGCACCTGGCTGGGGGGGAGGGGGAGCCACATTGCATGCTGGGAGCACAGCTGAGGCGCCCCCTGCTGCTCTCAGCCCTCCAGGCTCCCAGCGGAACTGGGGCGACAGCCCCGGGAAGGGGCTCCGGGCGGGATCCTGCTGGGATTGCCAGCTGCATCTGGACTATTCCTGGAGGTTCCATCCCCTGATACTCGTTAATTCCTGGAGAGTCCAGGACAATCTTGGAGGGTTGGCAGCCCTGGATCCAGCCTCAACCATGGGGCACGTGGCTCTGGTGCCCCCTCACCAGGGCCGTAGGGGCACAGGCTGGGGGTGCTGGAGCCGAGCCCAGGCCCGAGGCAGAGCCTGCGCAACGGGTGTCATTGCACCAGCCCCCGTCGCCCACGAGTTCCCCCAGCGTGGGCAGAAACGTAATCAGAGAACCGCTGGGAACCCGGGGGCAGGGAAATGAGTCAAAGTGAGCAGCTGAGAAACAACTTGGCTTAGAGCCCTGGGGAGCTGCCTCGCTGCAGCCTGGTGCTGCACGTCCACCCCCCCAGGGTACTCGTCTGGTGCAGGGACAGCTCTGCCCAGGCTGAGAACCGGGCTTAGGGGAGCTTCCATCGCTGAGGCAGCGGAGAACCCAGCCAACGCCACACGAGCGGGAGCGCTACATTCTGTCCATTCACTGCAGGAAGCTGGATGAGCGTCTCCAACTGTCATTAAGCGTTGAGACCCCCCCCCCCATCTCCTGGGACTCAGGAAGCAAATGGAGGTGCGACCAGCCTCTCCCGGGCCAGGCTAACTTTTCTCTTTACAGCAGAACTGCACCAGGGCCTGGCGTAAGTCATCGTGCTGCAGTCACCGGCCGGTGGGCCCGGCTTTCTGGCACTAGCTAACGCAGCGTGGAAAAGGAAGGGCAATTCTGCACAGACGGGGAGTTTGAAAGGGAACTGAAGAGGGATACACTCACTTCCCACTGGATTTGAATCCTTCACGCCCCCTAGAGCCCCTGAGAATCCCAGCCTGTGTGGCCTATAGAATTGCCCACACCACACCCATAAGCTACCCAACACCCAGCAGAGTCTGCCCCTCTCTCCCGACCCCATTGGGATCAAGACGTGCATAGAAGCACCATGCGAGTTCTGGATGAAGCGCTTGCAAGGCCAGAATGGAGTACTGGGATCATCGAGTGAGCCGGAGCCGCCCTGCGCAGGGCATTTCCTCCCGCAGAGCTTTTAGAAAACCAGCCGGTCTTGAGCGAAAAGTGGTCAGTGACAGAGTCCACCCCCACCCTTGGGAAATTGGTCCCGGGGTTAATTACTCACTGTGAAAAATGTACATCTTATTTCCAGTCTGGATTTGCCATGTCCCTTGGAAATAAAAGGAAGCTACATTTCCCTCTGTAGCTAACCAGGCTCTGTAACCCTAGATCCCACTGGGCAGGTTTATTGAAGAGACTCAGACAGACGAGTCTTGTTTGAACGCTCCAGGGATGTTTCTAAATGAGGACGATCCAGGGAGCCTAGCTCCCCATGTTCGGAAGCAGTTTAGCGCCCTGTTTCCTTACGGCAGCTATTAAGAAATGCAACACAATCCTATGGATCGTGTGATGTAGCTAGGATACAAGGATTCAATCATCCCAGGACATGGTGGGGTCGGGGCCAGATTCTCAGCAGGTGTAAAGTGGATCGAGTGTAAAGGGAAGGTTTTCAGACTGCTCTGACAGTCGCCTTCGTGGCCAACACAGCAGGGGCGCTCGAGAGCAAAAAGCAGGCGCTGCGCAAGCGTCCGGCCGGAACAGACTCAGGCCAGCACGAGCGGGTCGTGCTCCACACGCTCCCCGGTGTCTCTCAGCGCATTGTGCAGGTGAGACGTGGTTTAAGGATGCACAATGCCACGGCAACAGCCGGCTGCAGTTAGCCAAACCCTGTCAGGTTTTCGTTCCTCCCTTTGCGGACGCCGCAGAGCCTCCGGGCGGCAAGTACCAGGTGACTGCTATGTGAGCATGGGACCAACCCCCAAGAGGAGCTAGTCAGACATCAGTCCTGAGAATCCGCCAGACCCGTGGCAAACAGTGCTGGACTTTGCACCTGTTAAACCACATATCCCCTTGACCCCGGGGCCCTTCTCTGTGTCCATGTGGGAGGCCTAACGAGCGCCCAGCTAAGGGCCGACTGTCTCCCTCTCTCGCCCACGTAGACAGCTACATGAGCAAACAGTCCCGCTGGAGTCCCATGGAGCCTTAGAGACATGAACTGGAGACCTACAGCGCCTGGTCTCCCATCTCGCTGCCGAGAGGCTTCCCTCCCTAGTACTCTGTGGGGCGTCCTACATCGTCAGTCCCCTTCTCCCAGGAGCAGCACATACTCCCGTGCCGCACAAGTGCAGCAGTGACCTCATCCCCGGGAACGCCGCCCATCGTGAACCTCAGCGCTGCATGGGGCAGAGGCAGGGTCGCACACAGGCGTGTCGGGAGGAGAGGTGGCAGGTTCCTCGGCCATGCACACTCCAGCCAAGCAGCGGCTTCCAGTCACTACCTAGGCTCTTCTGTGCCTTAACACCCACAGAGCCAAGGTTTCTGTATCCGCAAAAAGAACAGGAGTACTTGTGGCACCTAAGAGACTAACTAATTTGTTAGTCTCTAAAGAGCCAAGGTCGCCTCTCTCTGCACAGCCTCCAATGCCAGGAAGGGGAAGCAGGGGAGACGCCCAGGGTATAATTTATAGGAGAGATTTATTTGAAGAAATATTACAACATATAAAAACTACATAAAGTATTAATTTCCACTTTATACAAGTGGTTGATTATTTTCAATACAATGCATAATAAAAACATCATCCTTAAAATCCAGAATGCACGGTGGGGGCACTGCACAGCCGATCACTAAAATGATTAGTAGTTGATAATTTGACCATCACATACAGCTTCCAAGGTCAGCCAAGGAGACGAACACTGGTCATGAGAACAGCTGAACGGAGACAGACCTCATCATGTCATCAAACAAAACAAACAAAAATCAGTGCATGTTTGGGAGTCCAGGGGCCAGAACGAGGAGATGGGAGATTTACACGCTAGTCCAGAACGTCCATCTTTTCTGGTTTGCTGTGATCTGTGAAGGAACAAGAGACACCATTGGCCTAGAAGGCAGGCTGCTTGCTGACACTGCATGACAGCAGAGTCCCCGCAACGACCCTGACTCCTTTGTACGATCAGCACAGGCGGGACCGCGAAATGCCCCCCCCAAGCTCAGCTCCACATGTGAAGCCAGGCTGAGATTTTCAAGAGTGACTAGCGATTCTGGGGGCCAAACCTGAGACCTCTGAAGGGGTCTGAGCATCAAGACGTGCTTTCCCTCTGGAAAGAAGGTGTCTTAACGTGAGCAGCCAAAAATCACCTGAGTTTTGAGAACACGGTTCGGAAGTCTTGTCCAGACAGGTTCGTTCCATGGGGTTTTAGCAGCACGGCAAGGCAGGCGAACCCTGGCTCGCTAGCGGCCCCTCCTCGTTACATGCAGCCAGTTGCTCATCCCCTGACCCTCCCCACTTAGAGCTGCTCTGACGGCCGCGAGGGGAGAACAAGCAAGACTTGATCCCGGGAATGAAACGGTCCCCAGAAGGGCAGATTACTAAAGCGCAATTCCAGCTTGGTACCGCGTCAAAGCCCAGCGTGCACTGCACACAAAGGGGGGCAGGAGTTACCAAGTGCCCCGCTGAGATCAGTAGCTGTCCGTTACCGAACTGAAGCTACCATCGATAACAGATGCGCCAGGCAGAGCGGCTCGTGCGCTGGCTGGTTTGGGCCCGCGGGAGGGCAGCTGCACTGGAGCGTACAGTAACCATTTCCCGCTTCCCTCAGCGTGAGCGCAGACCAGCTAGGAGTCCACGCGCCCCGAGATACCTGTGGCCTCCTCTTTCACTTTCGCCAACACACACGACTTGATCTCCAGCCCGATGGATTTCGCCAGAGGCGGAGGCACTGCGTTACCGACCTGTGAAGAGAGGCAGGGGAGCCGTGAGCTCTGTGCAGATCCAGGCCACGTTATATCGGGTAAGGGCAGCACGGCTTTCACGGCCTCCCCTGCGATCACCCGCCCAATGACCCCATTCTGAGCCAGCCTCTCTCCTTCCTTATCTGGCCATCCTGCTTCCAAACAGGAGCCCAGAGTAGCCTCCGATTCCCCGGCGAATGGTCTGGCCCTGACCCCATGCGGTCATTCACACTGGCCCCATGCCGACGTGAACAGAGGAGCGGGGATGGAGGACTGGCCCTGCGGCACCACACCCACTGGGTGCAGGGAGAACCGGCTCACCCAGCACCTCGCCCTGCTCCCCAGGGAGCGGCCACCCACCTGTCTATGTTTGTCCAGGACGTTGCCGAAGAGCCGGTAGGTGTCTGGGAAGCCCTGGGATCGCGCACACTCCCGCACGCTCACCACCCGGTGCTGCTCCGGATGCAGCACTCGGCCCTGGGAAAGGGAACAGCTGTGAATTCCCAGCCCCCTAAGGCCAAAGGTTGGTCGGTCGGACGGCAGCGAGAAGGGGTGCTGGAGTAGGTGCTGCGCCGGACCCTGCTGCACCCCCCCCCCCCCGAGAAAGAGCCGCTGAGGTTAGCCCCAGCACAAGAGTGGATCTCGCTCACAGGTGATTTAACCCAGAGCGACTGGCTGTGCAGACATCTCCCTGCCCCCCAATAACGCAACCCCCACAGTCATGCCCCTCCCCAAATGGCTGAGCCCTGGCCCACCACAGGGCTTACCCCGCTCGCCGGGGCCGCGCTCACACACCTGTTTGCCCATGGGCTCCGGGTTGGTGACGGTGGTGCTGAAGAAGCCGTCCCACTCTAGCCTGCCATACAGCCCGGCCCAGTGGTTGTGCCGATTGCCGGTGTGGGGCAGGCACCAGGGGATGAGGGTGTTGAACTGTCGGTCTGCCGGGTCGCACGGTTTACCTGCGGGAGGGAACAGAGCACAGGGATTTCCTCTGAGCTGGGGGCCAAGGAGCGGACTAGAGGGGAGGATGGCTAGGAAGCTGGGCAGACAGCCTGGTTCCCGTACGTCCCATCCCAGTACCCAGCACAACGGGGCCTAGGAATGAAGCACCACGGAATTGACAGTGTTTAACCTGTGGAACTCATTGCCACAAGATGGATACTGAGAACGAGGACAAGCCGAGCGGATGCAATCTATGCTCATTAGAATGAGGAGGGCTCTCAGACTTCAAGGGAGGAACTAATTAGCAGTCCCCCTCCTCCACTGGACAGTTCCAGTCCCCCCCCTCGGCGCCCCCCACTGGGTGACGGACCCGCAGCAGCTCCCTGTACCTTCCGCGCAGGAGCAGACCCCCCGCAACGCTCCGGTGCTGCTACGCCCGTTCTTCTTCTCGTGGTGAGTGTACCGCAGCTTCCGGGTGGTGATGCCGTCCGACAGCCGCACCTCGATGTTGGGCAGGTCGCGCCAGTCTGAGCCCGGGGCCAGGGGGATGTGTCTCATCCGAGCAGCTACCAGCGCGCTCATATCCTGCAAGGCCAAGCCCCGGATCCAGCATTAGCCTTCCCCCGCAGCCCGCCCGATACCGCCCCACAGCCGGATCTCAGCACGCAGGATACTGCCGGGGACTCAGGGGCAGGACACAGGGCCCTGGGTTCCATGCTCGGCTCTGCCTCAGGTCCCCCATCTGTAAGAAGGGGAAATAACCCCACCCTTGGCTATGGGGCAGGGCTGGTCCCTCGCTCTGTCTGCACAGGGCCAGGCCCAACAGGGGCTTGATCCAAGTCGGGGCGTGAGGGGGCCCCTGCAGCAGCCCCCGCAAGGCTCAGGTGCTGCTCTCCACAGCGAACCCCTCACCTTGCAGATGTGATCCCTGAGGATGGGCTGATACTGTGAGCCCCTGATCTGCCTCTGGAACCAGGACTGGGGCTCCCCGTTGTAAGAGATCTC